AGGTATTTGGCGCATTGTAAATTGCGAGTCACAACTTTTAACTTCATGAAATAACTCGTGAAATAAGTAATTACTAATTAGTAATGAACATAATATTAAATATTATTATGCGCGATATGGCATTGTGATTTGTGGCACTGCAGCGGTGCAGCCTGCGTGGCTGCGCCCATGGCTAAATAACTAGGTATGATCTTAGTTCCGTGATACGCATGTCGATGACGTCAGCCGGAAGGAATTCTTATCAATACCCGCCAAAACGGCTGGCTGTGCCCTAAAAGTTTACTGCCGGTTGACGTCATAATTCAATGTAAAGAATGATAAATTAGCTGTTTCTTCCATGAATGCGCTCATTGAACCAAATTTGGTAATTATGTGATCATACCTAGTTATTTAGCCATGGCTGCGCCCACCACCCACCACTGTATGTGTAGCACGATGTAGAGAAGATAAGGTGATACCACTCGTAAATATTCCGGATGCCAATTTGGACGGCAGTTTGATAGTACCGCGGGAGCGCAATAGGTAGCGCCACGATTCGCCTGGAGGCCTGTTTTTCCTTTTTGTTGCACGTAAAATCATGAGGTTGATTTAGGATTTAGGATTTTCTTTATAAAATAATGTAAGATTTTGAAGTTAAAACTTACCAAATGTTGAACATGATTCACTGACTATAAATAGTTTTATAAATTATAATTCAATATATTTATGTCAATGGTAAGAACTAGGTATTTTACTATAATGGGTTGATGGTAAATAATATAATGGTAAATTGTGATTTAAATGGGCAAATATTGTTTTTCCAGGATGTGTATGAATCCCCCACATGGATCCTGGRAATACAATTGTGGCTGCCTGTTCATGTATCGTTTTTATGTTAAATTCCATCAAATATTCAGTATTAAACACATCTACATTTTGTGATTCTGATGTATTTAACATTTCTGAATCAAAAACTACTAAGTCCTTAGGAGGAGTATCATTATTAATTGTTTTTTTTTTCATTTTTTTTTTCATTTTTTTCAGAATTTTGTGATCTTAATTTTGGTGCTGGACGTTTTGCTATACTTTTGGTTAAATATTTGGGAACACCTGGAAAAATTGTTGGAATCGCCTCTGATTTTAAAATTGGAGTAGTTCTTTGTATTTWTTCTATTACACCGTCACTTAGTTTAAATTCATCATATTTAATGATGCTGTCCGGGTCAAAATGTAGAGAACATACATGGTCTTTTTTGGTTAATTTTCTATCACCTCGAGGAATACTTTTATTCCAYACTTCTCGAGTTTTATCATCCTAAATTATGATTTATAATTAATTATATTAAATGATTTTATCTATAAAATAATAGGTGTAATTGGTATATTAATATTATATATTATAAATGGAAATCTCTATGAATTCAATTTATAAAAGTGTAAGTAATAATATAGCAACACACACATCTTTAGAAGGACCAATAAATTATCAACTTGAAAAATAAATAAAATTTAAATACCTTTGGTGAACTAAATAATGTTGGGTTTTTTTCATTACTTAATTTTAATTTTTTTGACTCGCTAGCATAACCTGTTTTACACCCAGGTACATAACACTTTTTTGGCATTGTTAAATTATTTTTATTTTTACAACTGTGAACTGAATATAAACAAGGTTTCAAACTTTTATGTTGTTTAAARTCATCAAAGTTGTGGTAAATTATCTTATCTAAACCATGAATCATGATCATTCAATTGCTTTGTAACTAATTTTATTACTGGTATTTACAAATAAATAAACTAATATTAGAAAATTGTATTTATTTAAATTAATGTTCAATAACAGCATTTATATCTATTTAACATTATATGATTGATACAATAATATTAGCTTGTATTACATCTATAAAATAATAATATATTCCACTTATTTTGTATTCATATTATAAACATTATATTTACATTTAAATATATTTTCAAATATTTAATAATACTTTTTTGTATAACTTAAAATAAAATAGGCCTCCGGGCGAATAGTGGCGTACTCTGTTGAGAGATTTCCGAACTCCTGGTTTGCCGTACATTTTGGCATCCATTTTTTTACATTGTGAGATAGGGAAGTGGTGTCACCTTATCTTCTCTACATCGTGATGTGTAGACTACTACTAGCGATTACAACGTTATCCGATCTAACTAGCCAAGCGTCCGCAGCGCCTTGTAGCGGCACCCGATTATTACCACGCCGCCGAAAACACGGCCAGTGAGCAATCTATAGTATTTATAATCAATGCTAGAACTATTTCTAAATGGTATCAAGGTATAAATGGTGAGCCCGGTTTTACTAAAGAATCGTTTCAAACTCTCAAAAAAAAAGGTCAAAGAAAATAGTATTGTTATTTGTAATTTAGTTGTAGACGAAATGTCCATTAAAGATAAGGTAGAATTTGATGGAAAACAATTTCWTGGACTAGTTGATATGGGTTCTGGTGTGATAATAGATGGTGATATTGTTGACCATGCAACTAATCTCCATTGGGATTGATTCATTTCTTGTACATTATTGGAGCAACCATCAAATAGTAATCTATAAAGATTTAACTAAAGAATATTGCAGTATTTCAGTTGATGCTACAGGTAGTCTGATAAAAAAAATTAAACGTACATCATTAAACCTATTATCAGCCCATATATTTCTATATGAAGCAGTTGTTCACACGTCTTATGGTCAAATTCCTATAGTCCAAATGCTTTCAGAAAAACAGGACACTCAAACAATACATAATTGGCTGACACAGTGGTTACTCTGTGGTGTAAGAGTACCTAATGAAGTTGTATGCGATTTTTCAACTGCTCTAATAGGAGCTTTGACAAGAGCATTTAATAATAGCAGCATGCRTGATTACACTGCAATATGTTTTAATATTTTAACTGGAAAAAAAGAAATATTACCCCAGTGTTATATTCGAATTGACGTAGCGCATATGATAAACTTATTTTGTCGAATTTCATACTTCAAGGGTATTCAAAATAAAAAATTAAAAACTTTTTATGTTAGCTGCTTGCGTTTACTTTTAACTTCATTGACACTTAATGAATTTACTGAGATATTAACTGCCTTGTTAATTGTTGCAAAATCTGAAACAGATGGCTGGGTTAAAGATAATATCGACACTCCAGCAGAATCTAGTAGACTCTTATTACTTGAAAAAATAAAATATAGAATTGTAGCAGATAGTGTTGATAATGATGGTATAGCTGATAATAGCTTAAATGAGGATGATGATCAAGGAGTTGCTGAAGAAGCACCCAATGCAATCGTTGAATATTTAAGACAAATCGAAATGGATGCTGATAAAAAATCAAAAGTACAAGGCAATCGTATCTCAGCTTTTTTTTTACCAGGTTTGTCTTCTGTTATATTACGTCTTTCTAGATATTTTCCACTTTGGACTGGAGTAATGGTCAGTACATTTAATTCACCATATTATACTGCGACTTCAGCACCGGTTGAAAATGACTTTGCTGAATTAAAAAAGAGAATCTTAAAATTCGATGTACAGCCAATGACTGCTGACCGGTTTATTGCGAAGCACTTGAATTCTCTTGAAGGAAGCAGCAAGTTATTTAGAAGTAGCCAGTTAAGAAACTCACACAAGACTATGCAATGTCAAGATTTAAATTTAAATAAAATATCGAATATAAAAGATAATAGATCTCTTGAAACTTTAGATGAACATGGTAACAAAAATGGAAAAACTAATKCATCAAAATCAAGAGACGTGTCAAAGTATTGTAACGAGGAGAAAACACAAACACAAGACCCGATTACAGATGAATATTATTCAATTGAAGAAAATGACACGAACAACAGTTTTGTACAAACTAGTTCTTGTGATGAGGCTGAAAATTGGTATAAGGGAAAAAAATTCGACGCATATATTGCAGATCACAAATCAGTGGTCGAAGATGAATATAGTGATGAAACTTCGATTTCTTCAAATTCACTCAAAGCGACTGAAAATTGGCGTGGGAAGGGTAATTCACAAGATCCAAAGTTACCAAAACCTAAAGATGAAATTATCAAAAAAAGATTTAGAAAGTACATGGACCCAAATCCAGATATTGAAAGGATTCTAAATAAGAAAAGTACTCGGTAAAATTTGAACTCTCTACTCATTAACGGAAATATTGGAACCCCATTACGCATGGCGAAAAATAAATATCTAGTTCTTAATACATGTCCAATGGATGCAGTCGTTGCCATAATAGCCATGGCATACATAGATTTCCAGTCATACAGAAACTTTGTAGATTCTAGTGAAAATCAGATGCTTAATTTTTGTAAAAAAATTGCCTTATATGGTCCAACAACAAATACCTATAAAGAACGGTTAATTATTCTGAAAACCATTTTCGATGAGTCAAACAGCGTTTCAAATTTAAAAGTTGTAGATGTACGTTGTAATGTATTATTTACTGTTACTAAGTTACTAAAAGACGTCCCATCTGCAATTGAAAATATAAAATGTTCAGGTTATAATTGTATAAATAAGCACAAACAAATTGCTAACACGACAGTTATTCTTCGCTATACCGACAACGGATTCAAAGATCTACAAGAAGCTCTAATTAATTATATTTCATTACAAACATATGATTGTGGACATTGTGGTGGATCAATTGCATCAACTAAAATACTAATGGATCACATTTTCATCGAAACAGATATGTATCAAGAAGATACTATGTTTTGTCTTTCAGAATTCCCATCAGAGATTAAGATTAATAATATTAAGTAAGTATACGTATTACATAATAATATAATATGTATCACAGTTAGTTAGTTAAGAGAAACCCTACAACGTATATCATACACCAATAATCATAACAAATCATTTTTTTTTATAGCTACATATTTTTTGGTTTGGTTGCGTATAATTCGGATCATTATGTTTCACACATCAAAAGGTCAATCAACATTTGGGAAACACACAATGATATGCTAAAAAAAATCAAAAGATTTCACTCTAACAATATGCTAGTAAGGCCGCATTAAGTTGTATACATAAAAAGTTAAATTCAAAGATTTATAATGTTTTTAAAGGTTTAACACTTATAGTTCTAATATTTGCTTTTATCTTACATGTATAAATATGTCATGTTTATTTCATGTAATTTTTTTTTTATAAAACTATACTCGTCAATATTATATTATGTAATTATGATATAACATAGATTACAAATATAATAGCTAAAATAATATTTCAGTTACTTGTATATTTCATATTTTATTTGGATTACAAAATATAATAGTTGGTAACAAGCTTAAAATGTTTTAATATACTATACTCTGTGTACAGTTTAAATATATTCAATTGGAGAACGTGAAGAATCATCGCATGTATCAAACTACAAGTATCTAACTCTAGGTTTTCCATTAAGGAAAATACAACTTTTGCCAGGTAAAACAAGTCTTGTGAGTCAGTTTCAAATGATAAACCATAATCAGGTACCTACATAAAATTATTTCTTTTTGTATGAAATCTACATGTTATTTAGC